GGTGGTCTAGAGTTGAAAATGTAATATTTTGTATACGAAAATGTATTTACCTTCAGAACTTCCATCAGGGCTGCAACTTTTATATGTAACATTTCAATATATATAAACTATGCTTCTAAACGTTTTTTTAAATCCCATCCCATTTGCATTTCAAAACTTGTAATACGTGACCAAAACACGTAGTAATACGCTGTCTTCTTTCAGAGAATGTTCTGGTCTGACATTGACTGTGATTTGGCTCCTCCTGTCTCGAAACACTGGAAGGTATGATTGAGATATTGACAGAATTAAATAAATAAAAAATAGACATGTTATTGATAACATATTCAGTCAGAGACAGATATTAACTTCACTGTTTTCTGCCAGGGCTTTAGTCGGGATACCTACAGTCTTGACAGCTGCTGCAATCACGGTCTTTCCATTTGTGGCCTGGATATACTATTATGTTAACAAAGAATTGAGATCAAACTGGCCGGCACATTGTACTACTGTAATATAGACTTTCAAGCACATCTCTGTTTCTGTGCCAGAAAATGATGAAATGAAGAAATTTCTGACTAAATGTGCTACCTAAATAAAAAAAATGTTATTGGTTTAGTGATATTCCTTATTCTGTGTAATTTTGCATTTTGAATCAGAAATATGTACTATAACAAGAGCTTTTTTTAAAAAAAATTTAAAGCTATTTTTAAGGAATGTATATTTTGTACGCCTTTACTTGATTGACACGAAATAAAGATATTATTTTATGCATAACGTAATATCCTTAAATCTAAGGGTAATATCCAGTTTTGTAGATTTGTATCTTCAATGTCAGGTTGAGGTCACACACAGTGTGTCAGGATTCATAAAACACACAAGATATATTTCAATTTGGCTGTCATTTCCCTGGTCAGCTAATGGTGGCAGTAGAGAGAATTTGAAGGGGAATGGGACTTGAAAGTATGGTAGAAGAAGACTTCTCTCTCCATACTGATCAGAGAGCAGCTGTCTGATATTTAATTCATACTATCGAGTGGCCGTGAACTCGACATACTGACCTGAGAACAGCTGTTCGTCTCCCTCGATTCTGCCTCTGTTTACTGGTTCCTTGCTGGAGTGAGCGGCAGTTCCGTGTAGACCCAAACATGGCTCAGTATGTTTTATGTCGGAGGCTCTTTCAAAGTCGTTGTAGAGTGTCACTACCAAAAGGTTTGGCACATGCTAATTCACGGAAGGAAAACGTGCTGAGGAGCTCGCTATCACAGCGGACAGACCACAGCCTCCTGGTAGGTTATGAGCTATCGCTATCCCCGCAGTACTAAACATCATTGACTTTCAAAATAATGACACGGATGAACTTACGTTTGTAGGGTCATAAACTGCATCAAGACATTCAAAATATATTAAACTGAGCATTTTGTTTATTTTTTAAGCTAAAAGTAAACTAAATTATATCGAGTCAAAAGTAGCCGTTAATGTACTAGTAATACCTACTTTCTGACATTTTAACATTTGTCGTGTTCCGTGATTAATGATGTTCTGAAGATATATGAAAAAAGGCAAATAACTATAGCTAATGCTATTTAACCCAAAACTGGAGACCCCCTAAAGGTGCTAATGCTATTAAACCCAAAACTGGAGACCCCCTAAAGGTCTACAAATAATTTATTACGTGGCAGACATTTCTGGAGGGATAGCAACACATGGCAGTGGTGTGTGTACTAATTTATTCACAGTTTGTCGAGTGGACGAAAGATATAATTTCAACATGAGTATTATTCATTAACAGGACGTCATACAAACCCTTGGAACATCTATCCCTCTGTACATACTGCAATACACAAGAGTACTGACTTCTATTAACAAACTAATGATAACGACGATAGAGATTGAAATTCTGAGGAGAGGACGTTGAGTTTTTACGTTTAAATAAATATTTTAAATAGCCACTCGACCAATGAAGGAGACGGCACCTTCAATCTTTTTTTTCCCCCTGTGTTTATTTATTATTAGTTGAATCAGTGGTACACCTGCAGACCCGAACTGAATGGCCACATTGCTAGAGGTTTCTCCTCCACCCCGCCTTTTCCAAAACCAGGAGAGGGACGTAAAAAGCATGGGGTAAGCACCAAAAATATGAAAAAAAAAAATGTAATGATTCTTTATTATTTTTTTAAATTTGAAGGTAGAGTTTTACAACAACGCTGAAGAAGAAAGAAAATCAGCCATTTGGAGACATTGATGTTTTTCATACTTAATGTTCCGACCAGGTCATATATCACATCAGCTTCCCCGACATAAAACTGAAAACAAAAAAACTGCTGACCGTCGTAGCTTTTTTTTAATATTGTACAAGGTATTATTTTGCTGTTCTGCAATTAGTTTTAGACAGTTCAATTTACTAGTGTTATGTTGCTGTTGTGGCCTTCCATGCCTCCATCAGTCTTGACATAAAATAATTTTCTGTGGCTTTGTTACCAATCTGCTCTGTCACATTTCTCTTCCGGTGAACTCTTGTGTTTTCCTTTAGTAGAAGACATGAAGACCACAAGGATTTTGAGCCCCTGTTGTAAATTAACAAACAAAATGATGATGATTATAGTTAGAAGAACATTTTATGTTGCTCACACAATGCTTGATAATTAATCTACCATGACTTTTTAAATCCACTGTTCTTTTAATGAGTATAATGAAAATCCAAAATCGATAAACATGTACTCCTATATTGAAATTTCACCACATAATAGAAGTGGAGGTTCACCAATGATGATTCTTTTTCCTCTGTTAAGCCAGTGACGTGGAAATCTTTAGCAGTTACCTTTGCTATTGGAGGTGCAGCACTACTGGGGATGAAATTTGTCAAAAAGGAAAAGGAGGAACGTGAGTATTGGACCGGCAACCGCACCAACGTGCTCACTGCGATTAACTTTATACAGTTATTAGGGATGTCTGATATCCGATACGCCGATATCATCCAAACATTTAATTTCCGATTCTGATATCAACCGATACCGATACGGGACATTTATCGTAACATTTATTTGTTTATCTGTACAAACTATACAACAATTTAATGACTATTAAAATAGATTAATTAAACGAGCTCCAAAGCTGCCATCTAGTGACTTTCACTTTAATATACAGCATTTACCCCCAAAACTATTTTTTTGGCCAAGCCCAGACATCGTGTTATCAGGTTTTCATTATCGAAGGAAAAACCAATAAAGATTCTTACAGATATCACATAATTATGCTAATATCGGGCCAATAACATCGGTCGGCCGATATTACCAGACATCCCTAATATTTATTGATGCGTCATGACATACAGCATACAGTGGGATTCAAGTGCTTCTAGTATCCAAATAGTGCTTTATTATGTTGTTATTGCTGCAGTGTTGGAAAAAGAAAGAAACAAGTCCATAGGAAAGCCGCAGTTGGGCGGTCCCTTTGCTCTCACCGACCACAACAACATGCCCTCCAAGAGTGAGGACTTCCTCGGCCAGTGGCTGCTCATCTACTTTGGCTTCACTCACTGTCCAGACATCTGCCCAGATGAATTAGAGAAGATGATAGAAGTGGTGGAGCAAATAGGTACGACTCCAGTTCTATCACAGACTTTTTTTTTTTTTTTTAAAACTTAAATGAAACTTTTTATTTACGTTTGCTTTCATGCAGATAAAATGAAGAACCTGCCAACCCTGACACCACTCCTCATTACCATTGACCCTGAAAGGGACACACCAGAGGCCATGGCAGCTTATGTCAAAGGTATAAAAGAATTTCCTGACCAGACACTTGAAACAAGAAATGAAGCTTTTCTTACTCGGTGCACCATGGGAGCTCCCCCAACAGTCTAGGCCTGTAGCAGCATATCTAAGTGTCTCATGAGTCATAATGTTGTACTTCCAGAGTTTTCCCCAAGGCTGATTGGCCTGACGGGCACTGCAGCTCAGGTGGAGGAGATCTCGAGAGCCTACAGAGTTTATTACAGTCAGGGGCCGAAGGATGAAGACAACGATTACATCGTGGGTTTTAATTTCAGTTTTCAATTTTTAAATACTTTTACCGATATGCTGATATTGTCGAAACTCTTATAGCGGTGCTATTGTTCCTCAAAACTATTTTAAGTGCACATCATGCAGCAAAACCCAGGCATTGTGTTATCAGGCTTTCATTATCGGAGGAAAACCCGATAACCGATATTCTTACAGATATTACATAATATGCTAATATCGGGGCCATTAATATAGGTTGGCGGATAGCCCTAATTGTTACCTTTAGAAGTCATTAAATATCTATTGAAATTTGTCAACTCTCCCTTTTTCTTTTTGTCCGCAGGTTGACCACACGATCATCATGTACCTCGTGGGTCCCGATGGAGTGTTTTTGGACTATTATGGACAGAACAAAAAATATTTGGAGATCTCCAGCTCGATAGCAGCACACATGAGAAAATACACGAACAAGACAGAAGTGAAGTAAATCCACCAGCTTTAAATAAAGCTTGTGATGCAACTGGAGGACAGTTTTAAAACTGCAGCCTATTTCAGATTGTACCTCGAATCACTTTTTTTTTTTCAGGCAGACGCTCTGCACCGCTAACTACAGTTGATTTACACCCATTTCTGAATCGTGATTTTAAAAAGTTGCCATACCAGTGTTGGTTATGCAACTAACTGTTTATGTACTACCATTGGTCATGCATTTGTTAATAATATGGCTATGAAAATTATTTAAGAAACTTATAAGATTGTCAATAAAGCAAAGTGTTTGATACACGGAAACAGTCAGTTGAATAAAACAAAGTGTTTGATACACGGAAACAGTCAGGAATGACCAAAGGTGGTCTGGCTGAAGGCGAATCCACAGTTTTAAAACCTCAAAATTCTTTTTTTTTTTTTTTCCATTTCTCATATTACAAGGCTTAAATGTTATCCTATTTTTGCAACAATGTTGGTATATGTTTATTTAAGGTCACTGACCGTAAATGATACTTGGTTTAATTTACATAGAAAAATTTGGGTAAATGTATTTGCAATAACATTCCCTGAATAAAATTATGTTGATTATGATTGTCTTCTTTATCCTTAACACTGGGCTGTTGCCAGTCTTGTGTCCATTTTATGTTAGATTTTTTTTGAAACCATTACAGATCATTCAGCATATGCACCTGTAGGACTGATTGTTTAACAATCGTACTGAAAACAAAGCAACACATGGGTGTAGTATACTTTTTTTTTTTTTTTTTTTTTTTTAAATCTAAGATGCGCTTAACTATAGTTCCAACATAATATTTTCCGATGGTATTTAGGAAACTCAACGATCAATTAACCTACAGCAGGCATAGGCAAACTAAGGCCCGCGGGCTGGATGCGGCCCATTCAGCTTTTGAATCCGGCCCGCCAAACTTTTCCAAATTATTATTACAGTAATTACTTCTGCCTTTTCCCTGTGATACCCACATTTCCCCAATAGATGGCGTAGAAAATGATAAAAGCATTTTAGCATTTTAGCCTTTATGCATGATTTGTACATGTCTTTATCTTAGTTCACACAAACGCTCCCTCTTTCTGCTCCTGTTCAATTTTAGGACAATTGTGGCGCGCTAGTCAAAACGTTTGCCCACGTCTGACCTAGAGCTTAATATCGCAATTATGATATTAAGTTCTTTAGTCTTTAGGTTTGTTTAGCTGCGACATATATCATTAAATCAAAATGAACCTTAGAGCAAACAAATCGTATTTGATGTCCAAACCTCTGAAATGTTATGTCTCACTAGACACGGACATCCGGCGAAATTTAAAAAAAAAAAAAAGCTTCCACAAAGCTTTTTTCCCCCCATAAAAAGATGATGAATTATGGATCGTCACATAATGCAGGCTTTCGATGGTTTTGAAAAACGTCTTTCTTACTAACTGCCTTAATTTACAATCTTTCAATCCACAATCCATTGCAAGCTCCATTCCCAGAAGGCAGGATGGCTCCGGTAATTCTGATGCCAGACCAATGTTGAATAAGTGCCCACCCCATGTGACTGTGAGAAAGATCACATGGGGGCACAATATGTCATATCCACCCAGCAGAGTACAGAGGAACAGAAGCCTGGGCCATATGGACAAGTAAGGCTGGCTCATATATAAAAAAAAAAAAAAAAAAACAAGGTAGTGGTCAGATCTGCTTGCCGACATGTTCTCTGCTGAAGAGGTAAGACAGAAAAATATTATTACAGAACATCCTTGCCTGTAATGGAGGTTTTGGTCACAGCTCAGTAGAATGTTTACTTCACCAGATATTAAGTGCTAAGAAAACTGGTAATCATTCCTTTTATGGAGCATCCTTCACGGTGGTTCAGATATTTCTTTTTGTGTTCGATATAAAGGGGGGGAAAAAAAAGCAGATAATGTAGGTGGTTAGGAGTTAACAGTTAGTAGCTTCAGAATCAACGAAGCAGGCAATCGCTCTTTATTTTTACCACACTAACCGCACGAGTTGCTAACACCAAGCAACAGATGCCACGCATCTAGCTGAAGGAGCTGCGAAAAGTAAACTGACCTCATATATTGAAATAATGGTAAACACCATTTTTTGAATTGCATAGAGTGGTCTATTTATGCAGCGAACTTGAGATTTTACGCACGATGGAGAGAAAATTACAGTACATTTAGAACAGAACTGATTTATCTTTCATTTACCGACAGCAGATGCTACTGTGATGCAGCTCTGTTGTGTGTTTTATTATTGTCCATATTTTGGTGTTTGTTAAAGCAAGCAAGGGTTTGATATTCTTTAAATGGCGGATCATGATGCATTTATGTCTGGATCAGTGGGCTGTTTCGCAGGCAAACGTCTTTGCTCAACTCTATTCATTCGTTATGGATTCGTTATCGACAATATCAGCGGGCTGCCAACTTGTCATCAGAAACCCCTGCCATGGCGTTAGCTTGTAGTACTTATCTAAAGAGAATTACGTTGTAGTCAGTAATTCAGTCAGACATCCACGTGGCCCACGGAAAAGCAGTTGTTTTGATTTTTTTGTAAAACCTCTCACGCCACCACCTTATTATGGTAAAGGGGTTCGAGTGACTCTCAACACAGCCATTCACAGACAGACATACGCTACTAGTGTAATACACAGTAGCCTCCCAGAAAAGTCATTGATCGCTAGCAGTCTTTGGCCCGTAAAAAACAAACAAACCCATAAATCGTCATTTAAGCTGCATGGTTCAACGCGTATAATCCGGAAATTACGGTAGGTGGAGAAGTTACAGCTAGTCCGTGTCACCTCAAATCACAGCTTGGACATTCAAGGAGACTGGTTCCAGGGGTGACTGGTCGTGACGTCTGGGGTTTTTGTGCGCGAGTAACGTTTGGGTCAAAAGCGAGGCAGAACTGTCAACTGATCACTACCTGATTTGGCTATGCTAGCGGGGGAGGATGCTGGTCAGCTCTAGCGGACACAAACATATAGTGAGGTTCTGCTGGAAATGTCTAGCGTTAGGACCATGACCGGAGGAGGTGGGGGAAACTCAAGTCTGTGTACGGCTGAGTGCGGCTCTTTGCAGATGATGTGGTTCTGTTGGATTTTGAGCAAGAGCAAAATGTGATTAGAAAACCTTGGCAGCATCCATGTGGAAGGGTTTTTTTTTATGGTTAAACTAAAGACTAATCTGGTTGGTCTGTTACTGTGGTTAACCTAAACCAGTGCTTCTCAAATAGTGGGGCGGGGGCCCCCTCGGGCTGTAGTGAGAACCCAGGGGGGCCGTGAGGAGCTTCCAATGGAATATGGCACGCTGGAAATAGGTATACCACTGCTGTAATGCATGAATGATAACAAGCCTCCAGCCACTAGGTGGCAGCAACTCATACAGTGGTTTGTACTGATGAAAAAAAAAAACCTTCCAATCCAAAAATAACACATAAATACCAGAAGCTGATGGCGAGGTTGGCAACCAGCAAGTGGCCAAAAGATGGTTTTGTGCCCGTCCGCTTCTAGAAAGATATTGTTATATACATGGGGTTCTCACAATATTTAACAAAAAAACGACAAGTTACACTACTACATACTGTACTATATACTAAAGAGTTGTCCCCCCAAATTATTGATTAAAGATATTGCTTATCCTTACACTCCAGTATTGCCAGTATCCTGTATAATCAGTCATTCCTTTCATTCTTTTTACTGCACAGACATTGAGGTGGTGGGTGTGAAGTAGTGGGATGAAAGGTGAGAACAAGAGAAAGAGAAGAGAAAGGGAGAGGGAGAGGGAGGGAGAGAGAGAGAGAAAGAGAGACACTGCAGATGCAGAGCTCTGTCAGGCAGGCGGCATCCGTGTCCGAGCAGCCTTCAAGACATAAAACTCAATGTGGCAGCAGCAGCAGCAGCGGCAGCAGCTAAATCAGGAGGCTAGACATTGTCACGCTTACCCACAATCCCTTTACTCTACCGTCGTTCCCCCCCACCCCCCTTCCCACCATCTCTTTCCCCCACAACACATTTCTCTCCCCCCATTCAGTCTCATTGTTTTGAGGGCGAGAGAGGCAGGCTTTCACGGATTAGTTTGAGCAGGTGGAGGAAGACAGGAAGTGGCGGTGGAGATGATGATGGAAGCCAGCTTTGACACTGAGGAGAGTTTCGATGACCCCTCCTGTTTTGCTCCGCAGCCCCCCGGCTCCGTGTCGCCGGCCAAAAGGCAGATCAAGGAGGTCAAAGAGACCAAGACAACGGTGAGTACCTCGGCAACGTCACCACCACCACCATCATCTCTCACTTTTCACCATTTTTTTTTGGTCTCCTCATTTCAGGTAACCCCTTCTCTTCTCCGTATATTAAATACCACATGATTGTTATTTAAGGGGTTCAGAAGTTTGGACACTTCAGTGATACGCTAGTTCGGGTGTTTTTTTTTGTTTTTTTTAAGTTGCACAGAGTATTTTCTCTTTTGTGCGTGCAACTGTCTACTGTGTTCCTAAGGAAGAAATTCACGGAGCAGAGTGATTGCCGTTCAGCGTTCAGGGATGTAAACACTGAGAAATCCTTCTCACTTTAAATCTCACTTTGACAGTGTTTTAACGTTAGGGCAACTTGTACATTTCCTCATCCTGATCGGAGCCCGATATATTTGTTCGGTGATACCAAGACTATAGCGGTGGTTATGTAATACTGTAGCTGATAATGATGATAAGGAGAGGGAGGAGGGGGAAGGGGTGAAATGGATGAGGTGAACCTGCAGTGTAGTCAGTGTCGGTGTTAGAAAAGACAGACTACAGTTGGTTTTATTGTCCGATCCTTTTTTTGGTTTGATTTGGACTCGGGGGGGATGTGGTTTACTGGTGTAGCCAAAGCCATTTTAAAAAGTCATTTTTTTGCTTTTGTGGAAAAAAAAAAAAAAAAGAGCCCCAACCATGTAGAAGCTGAGAGACATGCTGCAAGAGGCAGTTTCCATGGTGACAAAAGCAATAGCACTAATAATTGGTTGCTGAAACGGAAGACACACGACATAGGGGAAGGTGTTGGCGGTGGGTTGAGGTAAAGCCATTCACATATTTTACAGTTTACAAATAAAAAAAAAAAAAAAAAAAAAAAAACATTCTTTTCTTTTTAAAGGCATGGTCTTCAAATTGTGGGAAAATTCCAAATCGAGAAAAAGGACGGGAAACAAAAAATAATGCAGGTGGCGATGGAGATACACACTCTGCAGTTGTAAATTAATGACATTAGTCCCGCGAACTGTCCGCTCGTTTGTCTTACATGACAGAACGACGTTTGTCCAGGAGGGGGATTAGCCAGACTTTAAAATGGACCCACATGGAACAGATGAGGTATTACACCATCACCAGTCAGTGGAGGTGGGGGTGAAGAAAGCAGACCCTAATGACGAGTAATCAAAGCTCAACCACTGCAGGTCGTTGCAGACAAATGTACCGACAAAGTCTTTTGGACGACTCCTGACATTCTCGTGAGTCTCTCAAACCACTGTATCCCGATGGTGTTTTCAGCAGAACCTGCACTGCTGAAGCATGTCACACCTGCCCCTGCCTCCACTGCGGGAGCTGGGAGCGTGCGTTTAGTTTTGGACTCTGGATCGGACACGGCGGAAGCAGCATCATAGGGGTTAGGGAAATGCAGAGATTGTTTTGTTTTGGTACGTCGTGTGTGAGAGTATGTGTGAAAGGGAAGGCTCAAGGAAGGGGGAGGGGTCTGCTTCACCCAAAGTAATTTGTTGCTTAGCAACAGCGGCAGTGCATCCTACAGGCATTACATAGAGACGGGGGGGAAAAAAATGGAGGACGAGGATTTGTTGTTTTTTGTTGTTGTTGAATACTCTTTTCATTGAAGTGACAAAACTAGCCTACACAAGACGATCGCCAGCTAAAAATAGAAAAATAGAGCCTACAAAAGAAAAACCGTAACTAGTGAACGTGCGTTTTGTACAGACAGACATTAAGTCATACAAATACTGTGTGAATTCCATTCGGTCTCCTCGAATCTCTGATTTTTTTTTAATCAAACAATCTTGCCATATGTTGTATTTAAACTGGAACTATTTTAAGCGTGCTACTGCCAAATGCATTTTTAAATATATATATATATATTTTTTCAAAACGATTGAACAAACCACAAATCACAATTTCTCCATTGTCATCCTACGAGCCTTAAGGTTGTCACAGTTAAATAAGGAGACTTTTTTTTTTTAAAGTTACAAAAAAAAATTTTTTTTTTCATTAGTAAAAATGTTTGTGTTACAAAAAAAATTTTTTTTTCATTAGTAAAAATGTTTGTCTTTTTTTCTTTTTCAAAAAACACAAGGTATAGGTATTAGGTACTATAAAATGTACTTTTAAGATTGTATTTCGAAAACGATAACGATAAATGACTTCTGCAAAAAAAATAAATCAACCACACATCAGGTCTATGTCCCTATGAAAATGTTTCAAATGCTAAAGAACCAATTGGTTCCAGAACATTTTGTTGGTTCTTTTCTATGAAAACAAAGCTGGTGGTGACATAATTAATTCATCCTTTTTCTGAGCTGGCAAGATCCTAGAGCCCTGAATTCGTCAAGACACAAACACAGAAAGGAGATTAGAGACAAATGGCCCCATTCATTCAGAAGCATGTTATTTTAACTGTCACCATATCTACTACTGTATATATGGTTATTAAAAAAAATTGGGCCACAATGGTTTGACATCATTTACAAAAAAAACAAACAAAAAAATTGTCACAATGAGGAAATTCACAGTGTGAGTATGGTTCCTTTTTCATCCCACAATGAGGAAATTCACAGTGTGAGTATTTGCAACACACAAAGTCTACCACAGGGGGCACTACTAGGTTTTTTGGTTGTGATTCACAGGCTGCCACACGGGAAGCAACATTATAAAAGTGGGACTTAAACCCAGGACCTTCTGCATGTAAGGCGGGCATGTTACCCACTACATTTTGGAACCACCATACACCATAGTTTCTATTATTTAAACCAGGCGTGGGCAAACTTTTTGACTAGCGGGCCACAAAAATTGAACAGGGGGGGGGGTCGGGTCTGGAGCAGATAGATGGAGCATTTGTATGAACTAACATACTGTAAACGACATATAAAAGTCATGCATAAAGGCTAAAATGCTTTTATCATTTTCTACGCCATCTGTTGGGGAAACGTGGCTATTGCAGGGAAAAGGCAGAAGTATATTGATAATATAAATTATATCATTTCGGTAGAAAAAAAAAAAAAAAGCTGAACGGCCCGCATCCGGCCCCGAGCCCTTATTTTGCCCATGCATGATTTGAAATAAAATTTTGTAATCATTGCTTTTTAAGGTTGTGTAGTATGTCAGATATTTTATACAATAGGTTTTAAAGGTTAAACATCTTGGATGATTTAGAACATTAAAACTACGGATCCTGGCTCCTATACAACCCAGTTTCTAAGGCTATAGTCATATCCGAAACACTTCATCTTTAAATCATCTAGAACGTTTGATTATTCCCATAACCCTCGTAATGGCAGCGCTTCAGATAATATACAGTAAAACAGGAAAAAAAAAAAAAAAAAAAAGCACTGCATCAAGACATTGTGCAGAGCGAAGACTCGCGGTGAAGATTTTCAGGTTGCGGGTTTTGTGTTCGGGCCCAGAATGGCAACAGAGCACCTAGCTGCTCTCGACATCCCCGCAGCACCTGACATCCCTCAAAAGGATTTACTGCAGGCTGTGTCATGAAAATCTATATTTATTTCCAGCTCTGGAGTCCTACAATAGGAAGTTAGGTCAGGCAGCTTTCCTCCAATATTACTTGTTTTGCCCCACATGTGAGACGCTGACAGTAGTCGAGATAAACGTTCCAGCAGTTTAATGGAAAATAACGACGATCGCTGAGCCGGAAATATGAACAAAGTAAGATAAAAAGGGCCAATCACCCACATCATCCTCACCAGATTCTGAGCTGTGTCTTCTGTTTCTGTAGATCACTCGTCATCTCGCCGTGCTGTTTAGGTTCTTTCAGCTTTCTAGCGTGAGAATGACGAGGCATGTAGCAAACCAAACACTAAACCTTGGCAAAAAAAATAAAGTATTCAGCCAAGAAATATCCTAATTATAAGTCTAGCCTTATAACATTCCATATAAGTGAAGGTCACAAACAGACGGCTTGTTGACGCTGGCTTGAAATGTGTTACAATAAATAATTCAATTATTATAGAAATTATTGCAAGACATGGGCAAACTACGGCCCCCGGGGCGCGGATGCGGCCCATTTGGCTTTTTAATCCAGCCCGCCAAACTTGTCCCAATTATATTATTCATTTATAATACCCACATTTCCCCATTAAATAGCATTGAAAATGCTAAAACCATTTTAGCATTTTTTTAGCCTTTATGCATGACTTTTACATGTCATCTATCTTAGTTCGCACGAACGCTTTTGCTAAAAGCGTAGCAATGGTGGCAGTAACCATCCTGAAAGGTATTTTTAAATATCCATGAAACAAAGTTACGTTTTTTTTTCCAAACTTTGTATTTCTAAACTCCGGCAGCACGCTTCATTTAGTTTAGCACCGGCTCGGATAGTCTATGAGTATCGGACATTGCTTAAATTCCTACAAACAAACTGTATGTTGCTTCTATGTAATGTTACCATTTACTTCCTTTAAACAGGGCATTATACAGTCCAATCTGAAATAAAGACAGACGTAACAGTCCTGCAGCAGCAGCCAGTGGTGGTTAACAACGCAGCGCACACACACACACACACACGGTTTCTGGCAGAGCCAGTAGGCTGGACACACAGATGCTGGCTGTGACATAATTGCAGCGCAGAGAATAATTGAAGATGTTGAGCAACACAGAGTCTGTATTCAGTGCTGTGCTGTGTGTGTGTTTTATTAACAGACATTTGTTCAATTGGGCAAATCCCACAGGGAAGTGTATTCGGTTGTGTTTAGATTACAGTGGTCCCTCTCTATATCTCGGTTCTTCCTTCGCTCCCCCAGAACATTGCAGATTTTCTTTTTTTTTAATCTGATCTCGTGAGATTTCACGCTATATGGTGAAATATAGCAAAAAAATAAACTAAAAGACATCATAAAATAATTATACGTATGAAGGTTATAAAATTAAGATAAGCCTATTTGCGAATGATCGCTGGTAGATTTTTTTTTACCTAGACGAGATCGTACGTTGCATACTATTGGCTAATACAATGCGTACTCGGTGTACTGCCTTATTGAGCGTGCCATTCTGTTCCTCACGCTGATTGGCTCATGCATCGTAGCATCCCTCAACATCTCCCTTTGTCTGTCGGCCACTCTCTCGCGTCGCCATTCTACAACTCTACTGTGCATATTTACAATCTGTTTGCTGTCTTTCTCTTCTACCGAAGACTCGTGGACGTAAATATATAGATAAATAATATAATAACTACCTCGCCCCTGTTTCGCGACTTTTCCCCATTTCGTAGTGCGCCTCGTAACGCAACTGCCGCGATGTACCGAGGGATCACGGTATTTACAATCTGTCAGCTGTCTTTCTCTTCTACCGAAGACTCGTGGACCAAATTGCCTTGAGGTCAATCATGTCTGACCTTCTTTCCCCTCCTCTGCATGAGCCATTTAAAACCAACCTGATTTTTCTTTATTCCAGATCAACTGTGTGACGTTCCCTCTGCCCAGCGAAGGTCAAGAGCAGCAGCTCCTCAAACCCAACGAATGGAGCTACTGCGACTACTTCTGGGTAAGACAGCACACCTCGATTTGGCGCTGATATTTCTGTCGGGACTGGTAAAAGCCACACATTATAGTCATATGAAGTGCTAATTTGGACCATGCAGCTATTATATAATACACTGTATGCCCTAGCCCTTACAGCATACACACCTTAAGGTTCAAGCAGTTGCCCTTCAGGAACCCTTGACCGTCATATGGGACCCTGCCACAGTGACTTACACAAGGACATAAGGTGCTGATTATGTAGGACCCCCCCCCCCCCCCCCGATCGACCCATCCATCCTGTGGCTGACATCTTTTCTCTGTACAACATACAAGCTCCTGTCAGGTATCCTGGCAGTTACGATGTGTAGCCTTGTGGCCACCGGCCCTGAAGGGAAACGATATAGCAATAACGGGGGGGCGCAATCATTCACAAGTTGTGTACAAGTTGCTATGTTTCTACCGACTACAAGACAACTTACAAGTCAGAACCCCAAACATGGAGTAGTGATGAGAGTATTGATTCCATATTATCGATATATATTGATACTCACATGTGTATTGACTGAGTATCAATCAAGCTCAAAATGTATTGATACTAATTCATAAAGGCAAAAAAAAAAAAAAAACATGTGTCACTTCCACATCTTTTACGGTAACTTACTACATACAGCCTTTTGTTCCCCAACATGCAAAATTGAACCGATCCATTAATGTAGTACTTTTCAAATAGTGGGGCGGGCTTCCCTGAGGGGGCTTGGTGAGGTGGAATGGAATATGGCACACTCGACATAAGGGTACCACTGCTATAAAGCTTGAATGATAACAAGCCTCCAATCACTAGGGGGCAGCAACTCCTACAGTGGTTTGTACAGATAAAAATATATATATGTTATCAGGTTCTCAATAGTATTTCAATTTGCGAGGCGGGACGGTTAAAACTGGGCAACTTAACTCGTTATTATCGTGTTAACTCATTAATTAATTAACACAGATGATAATTTTATCACGCATTAACACATTTTTTTTTCTTAACCTTAAAGGAAGAGAACTGACCTTTCGCAAAACTCTGCCCCAAAACGGTCATTTATCCGAGCAACAGTTAAACGAGGTCTGACAAGCCGGACCTCTGACAAGCAAAATGGTCAACTAGGATAGGATAGTATTTTTTCATCTCCGAAAGGAATTTATTTAGTGGACACAGAGCAGAAAGAACAAAATAATATATAATACATAAAAAATATATATAAAAATATATATAATAAATATATTATATATTATATATTTTTTGTTATTATTTGAAATCGCCATCAATTGTGCAGACGGTCGATTGCTTATGTCTTCCAACGGAAAAGACCCAGCGTAAGAGCGATACGTTAACTTTTATTTGAAGAGATTTTGTTTGATAGCTTCAGTCAGTCATATGACGCAGTGTACTGCGTCGTCTTTAAAATATTGATTTGTTCACAGTTCCCTTGTCGCGGCGAATGTGTTGTTCGGTATTCAATTTTCTTTCACGTTGCCGTGGTCCATCAAGAAGGGGAGAAGCAACGAAAGAGTGAATAAAGAAAGACGTTTATATCGAAGCTGCTCGTGTCGCATTGCTATTATTATCAATTTTTTTGTATACTTTTTACATCCTGCTATGTGAGCACAACATTGAGCCGTTGCGGAAACTCCTAAAAGCAACTGAAAGCCAATTTCCTCATTGCGGAAACTCTTAAAAGCAACTGAAAGCCAATTTCCTCAATAACCATGACAATATATAACGTGTGATGCAACATAAACCCAATCAGCTGAACAAAGCAAACTGGAAATGAGAGCTAAACCAATTCATGCGACTCAAAATGGATGCAGCAGATGTCAATATCCGGCGTAAACATCAACATTGTTTTTGACCTAATGGTCTCCCTCTTGTTCTACATTCAGTCATACAGTCATTAGGGCGTCCACTTGAGCTGCTCCTCTGCCGCTAAATTGTATTTCTATTGAAAAGCACTCCAAGGCTGAGTTATTGTTTTGAAATCCAATGCCTGTTTCCTCCTCAATCGTTACTGTTGTGCCTAGTTATTTGCCGTCACTCTCAGCTCCTTTTTCAGCTCTGGTCTGGTTTGAGCTGCTGCGTGACGATGGATTTATTGCTGCGCATCAGTCCCGTCCTAAACTGGACTGATGTGCTACACATTGCTGTTGACATTTTTCTCACAAAAAAACAGGAACATCAGTGACTAATGCACACACACATCCAACACATGCCCTCTTTGACATGCATGATGTGACTCACCCATCCCATACTCTCACTCTGTGACTCACACTCATAAAACCCACATGCTCTTCCACCTAAACAGCTCAGAGACAAGGCTGTATGTTCCGGCAGTGACCTTTAAGCTATGGTCACTTTTCATGTTTTAAGTCTCACGGAATACTGAATAATAAATACAAGCTCTTTATAATTTCTATTTTTGAAGGCTTGTGAAAACACCAGGTTTCAGTTAGAGGACAAGATGAAATAAGTATCTCACCAAATGGATATTCTGTTGAAAAATGAATCCATTAATGCCGTCCTCACAGGCCGACAAGAAGGACCCTCAGGGGACGACCTCGGTTGCTGGCTTCGAAATGCTTTTGCAGAAGCAGCTGAAAGGCAAACAGATGCAAAAGGAAATGGCTGAGTTCATCCACGAGAGGTAAAGGACGTCTGTTGTTTGATGAATTTGACTGAGGCTTCGGTATTTACAACCAACAATTGTTTTGTTTGGGGTTTTTTTTTTTCATTATAATCCAAATGAGAAATATCAAAGCTATCGAGTAAATCACCTCAAATATCCCCCTAAACACTAATATTATTATTATATATTTATCATTAAATTACATTTTTTTCTCACATTTAAGGTTAAAATGAAAAATATTTAGCCTTCTTAGAATGTTAGATCATTTTATATGGAATTTAATGTGTCATTTAAAAAAATTTAAAAAAAACAGCTGCAGTGCACAAAGCTTTGCAGGGTGCACGTAAAAAAATAACCCAGCAGAGGTCGCTACATTACAGTAAACAGTTAATTACATGAACTTGTGAACTTGGTCACACATACTGAAGAGTCCCACTCTGCATTAATGCATTGTGAGAGTTGTAGTTAGTGCATGTCAATATATGGATATGTTCATTTGCCACTAGAAATTAGTTTAGGTTATTTGGCAAGATCTGTAAATATTAATTCATTTAATGAAATGTCAACTAAAGCTACAGTTGTGGTATACATCACACGTTTATGTTTAAAGTTAAGTTAAAACCTAAAATCGGATTCAATATTTTGAAGCATGACATTTTATTCTCTCTGGTTCAGGATAAAGATCGAGGAGGAATACGCCAAGAACTTGTCCAAATTGTCTTTGAGTCCACTGGCAGCGCAGGAGGAAGGGTAATTGATCATACGTTTTGATAAATATAACATTATGACATTTAATCTTTAGATATTTTCATGTGACCTTTCTAAGAGATTCGGTCTTCCCCGTGTTTATTTTTTTACCCAGGACTCTTGGAGAAGCCTGGACTCAGCTGAAGAAGAGTCTCCATGATGAGGCTGAGGTTCACCTCAAATTCTCCAACAAGGTAGTCGACACATTATTAGAGCTTTGATTTTAACTGATGACAGAGTAAACCGACATTGAAAGTTTTAGAAAACTGAATAAACAAACACCGAATAATATTTCACTTTTGTTTTCACCGTCAACATGCAAATTATGAATGGCATTTGAGATTAAGGTCAAGAGTCAAATAATCACAAACATAAATCCTAAAGGAAACTGGTTTTCACTTTTGTGACTGTAATTGGTAATGGAGCGACATCTACGTAAAAAATTAAATGGTCTACGACAGATTCCCAAAATGTAGTGCACGTGCTGCCACTAGGGGGTGCGCAAGGTTTTTTTTTAATGGAATTTTTACTGTGTTGTTTTTGTTTGTTTTTTGAAGGTGTGGGGAAATTGGTTGTTCCACAACCCAGTTGGAATTTAGAAACGGGTACATGGTCAAAAGAGTTTGGAAACCAAAAAAGTGGTCTATGAAAAGTGTGCTGTTGTATCACAAAAATGCCCTATTTGACAAACTAAATACACCCGTCTATGAACATATATGTAATAGTAACAAAAGTAACAGATAGATCTAGATAGTTCTAAAATTGCCAGTAAAGATCTCTTCTTCTTTTTCTCTTACAGCTGCATTCTGAGGTTGAGAAACCTCTGCTGACGTTTAGAGCCGACAACTTTAAAAAAGACTTGAAAAAGTATGACCATCACATCGCTGACCTGAGGAAGCAGCTAGCCAGTCGCTATGCCAGTGTGGAGAAGGTAAATTGTTTTTTGTTTTTTTTTGTGTATTTAACAACTAGAGCACACGGCTACATTTAAGTAGGGATGCACCGAATTTTCAGCCTCCGAAAATGTTGCCGTCCAAAAATGGCCCTAAAGTGCATTTTCAGTTTTCGGTCGAAAGACTTTTATCACCGAAACAAAGCGGCCGAAACAGGAAGTTATGATAAAGCAAGCAAAAAAATCGCAGCCAACGCGGGCTTATCGGATATCCAACGTTTTCTTTTTGACTAGGCAAAACTGCGTCAGAGACATCTGCAATACATATACATATAATATTTTGACAATTATTAATTTATTATCTATTTATTATTCATTTATGCAATCGCAGTGCCTTGATTGTATTGAGGTTTAGCTGACAGTCATAGCCATGAATGCAATGATACTAATAACGGCATTGGTTTGCTAATTTTCGGGTCTTCGTTTTCGCCCAAGAATTACAGTACATATCTGTGGGTAAACAATTTTCATGGGTTCATATGTGTACGTTTGTGGTTGTGTTTGTGTCCGTGGGTGTACGGCACAGGCTCGTAAAGCGCTGGCGGACAGGCAGAAGGATCTGGAGGTGAAGACTCAGCAGCTGGAAATTAAGCTGAGCAACAAGACGGAGGAGGACATCAAGAAGGCCAGGAGGAAATCGACACAAGCAGGTCAGAGGAGAACCAACTTATGGGAAAGTCCTGGGTTTCCTTAAGTGGAGCTATACGAGGTGATGGGTATTTTGTGTGATGCACAGTGTATGTGTTCTAATTTTAAGTTGCAAACCAGGCAGAATTTCTATTTTCAACCCGTGTGGGCCATTTGACAAAAACTGGGAACCATATGGACTCTTTTCCGTCTGGGCTCAATACCAACTCTGAGCCCTCAATCTCTCTTGTTCTCTCTCTCCCTCTCTCTTTTTGTCTCTCTCCCTGTTTCTCTTGCTCTCCATATCAACCTTTTTCTCTAATGATTAGGATAAGTCGGGATTCTAAGAAGGCATAAGACTTTCAATCTATCTATCTATCTATCTATCTATCTATCTATCTATCTATCTATCTATCTATCTATCTAAATAGAGAGCTGCACAATAAACAGTGATTACTCAAACAAAACACTAGCTTTTTAAAATTATGCTTTAAATGGAACGCATGCGTTACAAAGTTTTGATCTAATCCAACAAATTTGCTTGCGAAAGGTTCAGGTTGGTTCATTCCAACCATAGTCCCCGTGATGCCACAGGGCAGTATTTAACTGTTATTTTGGCGTCCTCTGCTGGTCTTATTCTGAAGTGCACGAATCTAAACGGAATTGTATCAGAAACAATCATGAACAGTCAGATTTATCTATCTGGTTTATTTACACCTCTGTGTACTCCTCAGGAGACGACTTGATGCGCTGCGTTGACCTCTACAACCAAACTCAGTCAAAGTGGTTTGAAGAGATGGTCACCACCAGCATGGTAAT